GGGCTTGGGGTGCTCCGCTGTGTGGTGGGCAGGAGCCTGCAGGACACACGCTGTCTGGGCCACTGCCAGCCTGGGTGCAGAGCTGATCAGACTCTTCCTGTCCAAAAGCAGGTCCTAGCTCTGGGGTGACTGGTGGGACACTGGCACATCTGCTTTCTAGGGGAAAGAGAGGGAGAAGAAGTGAGACACCATCTCTACTAAAAATAGAAAAACTGAAGTAAGAGGATCGCTTGAGCCCAAGCATTGGAAGTTGCTGTGAGCTATGATGCCATGGTGCTCTACCCAGGGTGACAGCTTGAGACTCTGTCTTAAAAAAAAAAAAAAAAGAAAGAAAGATGAGCTGCCCAAAGAGGCAGAGGTAGGTGTGAAAGAGGTGGGATTTGAGCTTGTGGACTGGGTGACCCTTGAGGCTTCCAGGGGTGGGCTGAAGCTGGGCCACTCAAAGCACCCAATGAGGGCTTTTTAATCTCATAGGACAGGTGTGGGCCTGGGGCAGGGCCCAGCCTCAGATAGGAGGATGCTGGGGCCCAGCTCAGGGGCCAGAGTGGGTGGAGGAGCATGTGACCAGGAAGGTCCACACCTGGCCCCTGGGCCAAGTCAATAAGGTCACACTGTGGATAGAAGATGGGAGAGCCTTCAAGGGGACAAGAGGTCACCTGGTCCCTCTTGAGGTGACCTCTGCCTTTGCACAGCAGTAGACACAGCTAATGCCTGTGAGGCAAAAGTTTTGCTTAGTGTTTCATTGACTTGGGCTTGCAGGCCGCAGGTGGGTACAAGGAGCCACATGAGTGTCCCGTGACCCTGGCCTGCAGCAGAGAAAGGGAGCAGGGCGAGTTATCAGACCCATGTCACCAGTCAGCAGATACTGTTTTCTAGGGGCTGCAGCCTTAGTTCTTATAACAACATGAATTCTAATTTCTGTGGGTGCTCTAGCCCATGGCCAGCCCATGGTGGGTGAGCGTAGCCAGGTTAGGGTTAGTGGGGCTGGAAAGTGGTTGTACTTTGGTGGACCAGAGAACAGACCCCAACAGCAGGGGAAGGAGGTTCAGTATGACAAGGGAGAGATGCTTCTTGGGAGTATTTATTCACCCCGAGACCTGTGTGTCAGGCCTGTGCCAGAGTCAGAGGCCAGGCAGCCCAGTTACTGCACCCAAGGTGCCAAGGACTGCCTTGGGGAAGGCACAGGGCAGGAAGGGTGTGATCAGCTGTGGGTGTGGAGGTGGGAGGCAGGTGGAGATGGCGTGGATGGGGCTTCCACTTGGGGGCTTCCTGGAGGAGCAGGCGCACCACTCTGAGGCTGAGGAGGAAGTTCTGCTGGAGGGAGGTGGGAGGGGGAATGGGGGCATGAAGCCACCTGGCACCCTGTGAACCATGAGGAGAGCACTGGGGACGAGGCTGTGTGCATGGCAAGGAGGAGGAAGCTCGTGACAGGGAGACCTGGGGTCCTCACCTGCAATTTTACCCTGGAAAAAAAAGCCACTGGAGGTTTGGGAGCAGACCCCAGTGGACTGATATGTGATTTACATGCACTGGGAGGGGGTGGCTGGGGACCAATTATGTGGCAGGAGTGTAGGGTACAACTCTACTCCCCGAAGAAACTTGCAGAACAGCCTGGGGTCTCAGGTTTCCAAGGTGGTACCCCCCTAAGGGAGATGGTGCAGGGCTTGGGACCAGCCTAGCTTGTCAGTTTACTGAGGGACAACATGTCCTGTGCCCTCCTAATGGGTAGATGTAATGCTACCATGGGCTGTCCCTCCTTAAACCTTTTCTATGGGGGCAGCTGGAGTAGGGCCGAATCACATTGCTCTGTAGTGCTGGCCACTTGTCTTTATGCAGAGCCTGGCTCTCTCTCTCTGGAGGGGCCAACCTGTAGTTAGGGAGTGTCAGGAGAGGTGATGAGGCTGTGCAGCTCTCTGCTGTGGAGGCCAGCCTTTGTGACAGTTTGTGGCAGCCTCCCCGCCCAGGAGGTCCTCCTGTGTTTTTGGTTTTCTTTTTTTAGAGCCTGTCTTGCTCTGGCTGCTGCAGTGATGCAGTCACAGTTTACTGCAGCCTTGAACTCTGGGGCTCAAGTGATCCTCCTGTCTCAGCCTTCTAACTAGCTAGGACTAAAGGTGCTGCCACCACTCCCAGCTGATTTTTCTTTTCTTTTTTGAGATAAAATCTCACTCTGTCACCGTGAGTAGAGCGCAGTAGCATCATTGTAGCTGTCCCACTATTCTGCATTCAGAATAGTGATGTTTCATCCGTGTCGTGGGATGATGGGATTCCCTTCCTTTCTCAAGCTGATAATACTCCATTGTATGGATAGAACACATTTTTCTTGTCCAAGTTGATGGGTACTTGGGTTGTTTCCATGTTTTAGCTATTGCAGCCAATGCTTCTGTGAACACAAATGTACAAATATCTCAAGACCCTGCATTCAGTTATCTTGGGTGTGTACCCAGAGGTGGGATTGCTGGATCAGATGGTGTTCTGCATTTAAGTTTTTGAGGAACTGCTGCCATGCTGTGTCCATAGCTGTTTCCACACCATCCTGCGTTCCCACCAACAGTGCACACAGGTTCCAGTCTCTCCACAGCCTCACCAGCACTTACTGTGATTTTGTTATGTTACTCCTCGTGGCAGGAGTGAGATGATATCTCACCTTGCTTGTGATTTGCATTTCTCTAATGATGAGTGAAATTGAACACCTGCTCATCTGCTGGTGGCCATTTGTAAGTCTTTAGAGAAATGTCTATTCAAATCCTTCCTTATTTTGAAATTGGGTGGGTTTTTTGTTGTTGAGTTGTAGATGTTCTTTATATATTCTGGGTATTCACTCCTCATCAGGTGTATGAGTTGAAATATTTTCTCCCATTCCCTGAGTTTCCCTTACACTGTCGATTATACCCTCTGATGTGCAGAAATTTCTTTTCTTTTCTTTTTTTTTTTAAATCATGTCTGCTGCTTCTGGTCTTTGCCCTGAGTTGCTACTGCTGAGGTTCCTGCAGCTGATGTTCATGCCTGGTTGCCAGTAAATTGCATTTCCTCTGTGGACTAGTCATATAAAGAAATAAAACTAGACCAGCCTGAGCAAGAGCGAGACTCCATCTCTGTTACAAATACAAAAACCAACCAGGTGTGGAGTCTGGCTGCTTGGGAGGTCGATGGGGGAGGCTCGCTTGATCCCAGGAGTTTGAGGTTTCTGTGAGCTGTGATGACACCAGGCAATAGAGTGAGACTCTGTCACCAAAAAATAAAAGATTTTTTTTTTTTAAGACAGTCTCATTCTGTTGCCCAGACTAGTATGCCATGGCCTCAGCCTAGGTCACAGCAACCTCAGACTCCTGGGTTCAAACAATCCTCCGGCCTCAACCTCCCAAGTATTTAGGACTACAGGCACCTGCCATAATGCCCAGCTAATTTTTCTAGTTTTAGTAGAGACAGGGTCTCACTTTTGCTCAGGTTGGTCTCAAACTTCAGAACTCAAGTGATCCTCCTACCTCGGCCTCCCAGAGTGCTAGGATTATAGGTGTGAGCCACTGTGCCTGGCCCAAAACGTAGATTATATTTAAAAAATTGTATGTCCAGACTTTATAATCATTTTAGTAATTCCTTCCATTCACTCACTCATTCACCTGGGCCTTCGTGGGGGATGCAGATGTTTGAACAGGGGCAGAGTACACAGTTGAGGGGGCGAAGGTGAAGGGGTGTGCAGAGGTACAGGTGTGGACCTCGGGGCGGCGCCGAGCTGCATCTTTCCCTGCAGAGTGGGGCTTCCACAAGAAGGTGGTGGGGGGAGGGGGCCCACATGATGGAGACTCTCATGGTCCTGCCTGGGGGGGTTGGACTCCAGCCTCCAGGCAGGGGGGTGGCTCAGGGATCTTAGAAGAGGTGTTGGGACATTTCCATGATCACACGTGGTGCTCAAGTGCCTCAGGGGGCCAAGGATGGGAGTAGCAGGGTCTCAGTGCAAGGCCCTTTTCCTTCCCAGGCTTCTGGGTGGAGAGGACCCCCGTGCATGAGGCAGCCCAGCGGGGTGAGAGCCTGCAGCTGCAGCAGCTGATCGAGAGTGGTGCCTGCGTGAACCAGGTCACGGTGGACTCCATCACGCCCCTGCACGCGGCCAGCCTGCAGGGCCAGGCGCAGTGTGTGCAACTGCTGCTGGCGGCCGGGGCCCAGGTGAGTGGCCCTGCCCAGATGGGCTGCAATTGCAGGCACTGAGTAGGTCAGCTCAGGGGAGGTCCAGGGGTGGAGGAGCAGTTGGTGGGGTCAGCCTCTGTGACATGCAGGCACACAGACGGGGAGAAGACCTTGGAGGAAAGGCAGAGGGGACAGACAGTGTGTCCTGGGAACCAAGGGAGGAGAGGCTCAGCTCTGCCACTGTCTGCGGGATTAGGGGGAAGCCGAGGGCTGGGCAGTGCTCTCGGGCTTGGCTCTTAGGAGTTCATGGTGGCCCCAAAGAAGGCAGTTTTACCTGAATGGTGGAGGGGTGGCCAGGGAGCCAGCTGTCCCCTGGACATAGGACACACTACCCTCTTCATGGGGTGACTGGGCCTCGGCTGCCACATGGGCCCAGACAGCAGGTTCCGTTGAGTGGGACTCCACAGACCAGCTGTCTGGGAAGAAAAAGGGAAGAGAAACAGAAAGAAACCCAGCGCTCCCGGGTGTGAGCACACCTTGCTGGCTTTGCAGCGGTCCCGGGTGTGAGCACACCTTGCTGGCTTTGCAGCGCTCCCGGGTGTGAGCACACCTTGCTGGCTTTGCAGCGCTCCCGGGTGTGAGCACACCTTGCTGGCTTTGCAGGGCTCACGGGTGTGAGCACACCTTACTGGCTTTGCAGCGCTCCCGGGTGTGAGCACACTTTGCTGGCTTTGCAGCGCTCCCGGGTGTGAGCACACCTTGCTGGCTTTGCAGCGGTCCCGGGTGTGAGCACACCTTGCTGGCTTTGCAGCGCTCCTGAGTGTGAGCACACCTTGCTGGCTTTGCAGCGCTCCTGAGTGTGAGCACACCTTGCTGGCTTTGAGCTGCCAGCATTCCTGGCTGGCAGAGCTCCCAGCAATGTGGCCATGAGCCCTGGCAAGCTGGGACCGGCCCTGCACACCCCAAGTGACATTATAAGGCCTGGAGCCCATCTCAGAGTCCAGGGGACGGGGAAAACAAGAAGCTGTGTGCTGTTTACTCTTCCCACAGGCTTGTGCTGGAATGAGTTTCAGCACCTACCCAAACAGAAGCAGAATATGGTCAAATTCTAAGTGGAATTTGCCAGTGTGGGGAGTTGCCTTCTTCCTGGCCTGTGATGGTCACGCTAGAGGAGGCACATGTTGTGGTCCCAGGCATTTCCTCCACTTGAAGCCTGAGTTAAAACCCATTTTTATATTCTGCCTCCCAGCTTGCAACCCCTGCTCTGTGCCTATTAGGTATGGGGGGGGGCATCAAGGAGGAGGCTGAACTTATCCTATCCCAAGAGAAAAGAGCCCCAAAAGATGGGATGGTTTCTTTGCTTAGCAGGCCACAGGGACCCCCACTGATGGGTCTGTCCCCAAACGTCCTTGCCTTGCAGTTGCCTTTGCATGTAACAGCAAAGCAGTGCTTCCAGGAGGGGTCTCTGCAGAGAGGAATCTGCCTGGAGGGGTGGGGGTGGGGGACAGCAGGCTGCACAGCATCTCTCCCCCCACCCTCTGACACCTGCTTCTCTCCCCATGAGGTGGACGCCCGGAACATCGACGGCAGCACCCCTCTCTGTGACGCCTGTGCCTCGGGCAGCATCGAGTGTGTAAAGCTCTTGCTGTCCTACGGGGCCAAGGTCAACCCGCCTCTGTACACAGCATCCCCCCTGCATGAGGCCTGCATGAGTGGTGAGTTGGGGGTGGCTGGGTGTCCCAGCTGGGCTCTGGAAGTTTCCTCCTCCTTTCTGGGATGACGGGTTAGTGAAAGGAGCTGTGCAGATGGAATTGGGCCAGAAGAGTCTGTTTGTGGCTCATGGTGGCCAGGCAATAGAGATTCTAAGATTTTCCTCCTCTGGGAGACGGTTGTGGTCTGGGGCTGAGGAAGCTGGTTCTATGGTAGGACTGTGCCTCTTGGGCCTTTCCATGTTAGCACTGAAGCCCCCACAGCTGCAGCATCACTGGGTCTTTGTGGTAGCTTGCCCTGCAGGTCCCTGATCCAGATGGGAGGCCAGGGAGACCCAGGACACATCTCAGACACGTCCCGAGGGCCTGAGCCAGAGGGTGTGTCCTGACTGTGCTCTCAGGAGGGCTCTGGTCCCACAGGCTCAGGGAGCAGGTGGGGTTTTAATGGCCAGCAAATAACAGGCACAGACCAGGGGAAGGGGGGGATAAGAACACCCTCCTGGCATGGGGAAGATCCCACCTCCAGTCTTCCTGGATCAGAAGCTCCTTGTGCCATATATAGGACTGAAATTTAGGGTAAGATCAGCTGCTGAAACATTTTTAAAAGGCAGCCTAAGGAATTTGGATTTTACTCTTCTGAGCAAAGTTGCACCTTGTGGCTTGTACCCCATTTGGCCAGGGTGCTGTTCCTTTGTCTTTGGGTACATTTCACTGGGGTGCAGGGTGTGCCCTCCATGGTGCCACACGGGCCACTTCTCCCTGCAGCTCACCTCTGAACCCTGCTGTTAGGTCATCTTTCAATACCTGTGGGCGTGGAGGTGGCTCCAGGATGTGTCATGGGTGTTTCTGAGCAGGTGTTGAGTGACAGGAGAACAGAATTTGGGGCAGGCTGGTTTGGTGGTCCTTCACAGGTAGATGGACTGGACTGGCATGGGGGGTTGGGGCCTCCTGGAAGCAGAGGGGCGAGTTGGGGGCCATCACTGTGACCCAGGGGCAGGACACTTTGAGTAGGCTCGTGGCATGCAGTGGATTTGTTCAGGTTTTGGGAAGAATCTTTGGGGGCTGGTGTGGGAGAGGCAGGGGGTCAATACTGAGTCAAGTGTGAATTGGGGGCCTCTGGGGAAGGGGGTGGGAGAGCCCTGTGGTGGAGCCAGCAGGCTATGGCTGCAGGCACAGCTGTGAGTGGGGCTGGGCTTCAGGGCCAGAGTGGAAACTGGGGAGCTACCAACAGCAAAGAGGTGATTGAGTGGTGAGTGAGATTGGAGTCAGGACCAAACTTGCTGGAAAGGCTAGCATGGGGCCCTGGACACCGACTCAAACCTGCATGGGAGTCCCTGAAAGCGGAGATGGGAGGGGCTGCTCCTGTCCTAACAAAGTCTCCCCACAAAACACCCAGACCTTATGTCCCCAGGATCATTACCAAAATACCTTTAAAAATTCCAAGGATATTTCCTCCAAGAGACCAAGCCTGGTGCCGGCCAGCTGCCTGCTTGGGAGCAGCAGGTGAGTCCTAGCTCTGTGACTCATAGCAGGGGCCGGCAGCCTTTCTTCCCCCTGCCAGGCAGCAGTGGCCCCACGCCCTCCAGGACAAGTGCAAGTCTTCCAGCTTCCTGAGGCCTCGGAGGGGTGAGCTGCTGCAGGGGGTGGGTCACAGGCCTGGCTTCCCTGCCTGTGCCCCATCACAGGTGCCTGCGGCCCATCCAGGCTGCTGTATCTGTTGCACTTGTTACTTCCCATATGTGTTCACAGATGTTTCCCGCCCTTTTCCATTTACTTTTTAAGGGAGCTCAGAATGTGTGAGGCTTCTTATTGATGTTGGGGCCAACCTGGAAGCACATGATTGCCACTTTGGGACCCCTCTGCATGTGGCCTGTGCCCGGGAGCACCTGGACTGCGTCAAAGTGCTGCTCAATGCAGGTGTGTGGGCACTACGGGGGGGGGGGAGTCACGTGGGCACTACGGGGGGGGGGGGGCGCGGGGCGGTCACGTGGGCACTACTCGGGAGCGGTCACGTGGCCGCACAGATTCTGGCTTATGCTCCAAACGCCTCTACTTTCCCACACCCTCTACTGCATCCCCTCCAATATCCAAACCTAAACCAATACCTTTGTCCTAAACTCTGCCAAGTTCTAGTCTGCTCAAGCCTGTGCCATTTGAACCAAAGACTGCGGTCAGGGGAGAGTCATGGAACCGATCAGGGCCCACAGCAGGGGCCAAGGTTAGGCCCATCCTCCGCACCCCCTCATTGCAAAGTAGCAGTATAGGGGGCTGGGCAGGGAGGGGGCAGGACCCGCAGATTCCTGGCAGCCCTCTGGGGGAGTTTCCAGGTGGCGGGGAAGCTGGGGCGTCTGGCTGGGGGCATTGTCAGCACTGGCTGGATGCTTGTTGGTAACCTCAAGCTGCCAGCTCTGCTCATCACCCTGATCTCAGAGGGTCTCCCTTGACGCCCATTTAGTAAAGCACATGGGTTATCATGTTTTTTCTTAGAAACTTTTTCCATTTTGGGAAATTTCAGACATAGCTGCAAACCCCTATGTCCTCACCACTGGATTTTGTTTTTAATAGTGATTCTGAACTTTTTTCCACAGGCCCCTTGGGAACCTAAGGGAAACTCTAGGGAGTTTGCACACGGCACTTCTGTGTATAATTTTGGGAAGGGCCCGGGCCCCATTTGAGAGGCAGTGCAGTGGAGTGCAGGCTTGGGCCCCACGGGGGACTCGGAGATGGCGGTTCTTTTTGTTTTTTTTGCAGGCAGTGTGGCAGGTCAGGGAACCAGATTATATTTCAAAGGAGAAGGGCTGGGGAGGGTGAAAGTCCAGTTATTATGGCAAAGTCGGTTTTAATCTGATACTGACAATAAATATTTAACCTTCTGAGAGCGTTCAGAAACGGCTTACTGGGGACTGCTTCGTGCCTGCCTTTTCGGTGTGTCGTTGCATAAGGCTCAAATTGAGCTGTTTGTACTCAGGTTCTAGGATCTGGCTGGTCTTTGGCCTGCCGATGTGTATTAGAGCGTCCCTTTGCTCTGCAGACTGTGGGTTCTCCCAGGCCGCTTAATCCTATTTTGCTTTGAAATTGGGATTTTGGTAATGAGCCGATGGTGACCCCTTTTCTCTGAAGCATAAAGTTCAGAGTTTTTAACTCCTCGTGGTACCAGTTGCTTTTCTGACACCGTGTCTCTGTTTCTCTTACACTTCTCTGTTCAAGGCATGTTACCATCCTTGCTCCACACAAAACTACTTTCTTTCCCTCTTCCTGCCCTCCTTCCCTCCCTCCCTGTCTTTCCCCACCCGCTCCCTTTTCTAAAGTGCATCTCCATGCTTGATTTTTTCTGCCTTTATCAGCCAAGGCTTACATTTTAACGGACATAAAGGGAAGTGGAAAGGGCCTGGCTTTGTGTTGTCACGTGGCTGTTTGTGTTTTAGGCGCACACCTTGGGCACTGTTACGAACGTGGGTCTTAGGTACTATTAGGGGCTTAAAAATATTTTAAAACAGAAAGTGGAAAGCAGAAGGGTTTTTCAGATACTTTCTCAGCGGAGGGACTAGAAAATGTAATAGCTTTATGCCCCTCATTTTCTTCTCTTTCAGCCCCTTAAAGTTATCATTAAGTGGGGGCATACTGGTGGTCTGCCTTTTAAAAACCCTTTTTTTAGTAATATTTTATGGGCCAGGTGTAGTGGCTCATGCCTGTAACATGAGCACTCTGGGAGGCCAAGGTGGGTGGATTGCTTGAGCTTAAGAGTTTGAGACCCGACTGAGCCAAGAGCAAGATCTTATCTCTAAAAAAATAGCTGGGTGTTATAGTGGCTGCCTATAGTCCCAGCTACTTGGGAGGCTGAGGCAGGAGGATTGCTTGTGCCCAGGAGTTTGAGGTTGCTATGAGCTATGATGTTTCAGCACTCCACAGAGATTGACAAAGTAAGATTCTGTCTCAAAAGATAAAAAGTAATACTTTATGATTATGGTTTGAACCTGGTGTTTGTGGGATTACTTTACCAATGCTGCACTTTGGGTTGGCTTCTTTAAAATAAAGAGTTCCGGCTCGTTGCTCATAGCACAGGGGTTACAATGTCGGCCACATGCACTGAGGCTGGTGGGTTCGAACTGGGCCCAGGCCAACTAAACAAAAATGACGACTGCAACAACAACAACAACAACAAAAATAGCCGGGCATTGTGGCAGGCACCTGTAGTCCCAGCTACTTGGGAGGCTGAGGCCAGAGAATTGCTTAAGCACAAGAGTTTGAGGTTGCTGTGAGCTGTGATGCCATGGCACTCTACCAAGGGTGATATAGTGAGACTCTGTCTCAAAATAAATACATAAATAAATAAATAAAGTGTTCTCTTTTATCTTCCTTACCTACTAAGGAACAGACTTCAAAAAAGATAATATTTTCTTCCAAAATAAATTCTGAGGTTCTAATCCAGCTCATTGTTTAGAAGTGCTGATAGCCCTGCCCTAAAGATGATGTTTTACGCAAATCCTATGTTTATCAAAATCTTTGTTTTTTTAATGCATGGAACAATGCCATATTTGGCTGCTAATTCTGTGCACCTTTCTGAATATCTGCTGTCATCCTGAGAAAGACAAGGAGGGCAAGGCTGAATTCACATCTAAGAGGCTTTCTTTCTTAATTGAATCCCATGTCATTTTGAGAATATTACCTACTTTCTTTCCCTTTGTTCTCTCCTTTTATAAAAGAACACTGATTTTTTTAAGGCATATTCTTTCATTCAACCAATATCTTTAGAGCCTCTGTCCCGTGCCCATTCTAGGAAGGAGCAGTGTGTGTGTGTTTGAGGCCAGGCTTGGGTCACTAGGCCTGGGATTCCGGAGATCTGGGACCCTGAAGGCTGACTGCCTAGCTCACTAGCACTGACCTTGAACTCTTGAAGTTGTTTTTTTTTTTCATCTGATTCTTTTTGGTTCTATTTCCAGTTTTTTTTTTTTTAATTGCCACCTGTCTTGAGCTCCTTTAGCTCTGGAGAAGAGAAGGTAATTACTGCTTTTGGGTTTTGAAAAACAGTTTTGAGAAAGCGACAGCAGAGCCTGTCTTGACTTTGTTTCTGGCTGGGGCTGCCTCTGAGCTCCGTGCTGGCGGAAGCCCCACTCACCCACCTCTCTCCCGGCCCGAGTCCCCTCCTGGGTGATGTTTGTTCTCCACTCTGAACCTCCAGGCGCCAATGTGAATGCGGCAAAACTCCACGAGACGGCCCTTCACCACGCGGCCAAGGTGAAGAACGTCGACCTCATCCAGATGCTTGTGGAGTTTGGCGGCAACATCTACGCCCGAGACAACCGTGGGAAGAAGCCGTCAGACTACACCTGGAGCAGCAGCGCCCCCGCCAAGTGTCTCGAGTACTACGAGAGTGAGTGGCTGCCCTGCACGTGTGTCCCTGGGGACCCCATCCTCCTGCATGGGACCCTGTTCTGTGGGGTCTCCTTAAGCTTCGAGGTCTGAGTCTTTAGTTCTGAGCACCTGCCCTGTGCCACCAAGATGTGCCCATGAGGACTTTTGTGCTAAAGCCCTGGTTCCTCATGGGACACTGTGGCCAGTGGCCCAGTGGGGCAGGAGCTGACCACCAGCTCTTACCCCTGGACATGTCCTTCCTTCAACATCTGACAAAGTCACTTACTAGCTGCAGAGAAGTTATTTATAATGCTGTGGCTCAAACAAAACAAATTCCCCCAACCCACGCAGTGAAATCCCAGTGGATATCGCCCCAGTTCCATTTCCTGGTGTGGCTTCCTTGGGTCCCTGGCTATCCTCCCCAAGTCAGTGTGCGGGGCCCACCCTGCTTGTAGGTTTCCATGCCCTCCTTCCTTTGTGTTAGGCTGTAGGGGGTGTGCTCCTTCTGGAAACTGACCTCGCTGCTTCCTCCCTCCCTGTTTCCAGAGACCCCCCTGACTCTGTCACAGCTCTGCAGGGTGAGCTTGAGGAGGGCCACTGGTGTGCGGGGACTGGAGAAGATCGCCAAGTTAGACATCCCGCCCCGGCTCATCGATTACCTCTCCTACAACTGAGCCGCCCCTGGCTGGCTGGGCAAGTGGCGGGCTGCCAAGGGCTCTGCCTATTTAAGCAGTAAGGAGATAGAAAGACGCTCCTTGCGGGCAGCTGTCCTGTTTGGGATTATCTCCTGCGTCTCAGGACTCGGTGTGGACGTCACTCTGTGCTGCTCTCTCTTCGGCATGAGCCTGGCCACCCAGTTGTCCTCTTTTCATGGACTGTCCTCAAAAGCATTCTCAGGACAGGTGGCTCAAGGAGCATGGAGGAAGCTGGCCGGACTGGGCTCTCAGGGCAGCTGCGCAGAGGCACCCATCCCAGGTGCAGCCACCACCTCTGAGTCAGCACCAGGGCTGTCCTCAGTGCTCCTGGGAATGGCTGGGCCACAGAAGGCCAGATCCTGACCATGTAGCCTGGACAGCAGCTGTGCTATCATCCTGCTGCTCGGACACGCTTTTGGAGCAGTGGTCGGCACAGTGCCCCCTGGCCCACACATTTCCATCACTCAGGGTCTTTACACGGGTGCCGTGGAGGAGGCTTAGCTTTTTATTCCCCGAGCTAGCACAGTGTTTCTTAGGAAGTTTGTCTTCAGTGTTAGGCCTCAGACTCTTTTAAAAAGTTTGTGCAGGATAAAAACCTTTTAGAGGTTGCAGGGGCCGTCCCGCTATCAATGAGCCATTCAAACAAACAGCCCCATGAAGGTGTGAAGGTGCGTCCCATTGCATGTTCATGGGAAAGGCTATTCTCAGACTCTTTGGGGTTGATTTCCGTCCATTCCTAGAGTTGCCAGGTGAATTCTTCACTCACCCTAGATTTTTTAGCCCTTTGAAGCTGTCAGGTTGGTCAGGCTGCCTGCGCCCTCGGGTACCAGCACAGCTTACTCATCCATCTCTCAGGGGCCAGGCATCGTTCCAGCTCTTTGAACTGACATGAGTCTCCTCAGCCAAGGCTGGAAAAGAACCTGTTTCACAATCCTGTCCTATAATAATATAAAAAGCCAGTTTGCATTCTTAGCCTCAAGGTGAAATATAAAGTAGTATATTAAGACTGCGTTTGCTTCCTGAGACTCTGTGCTTTCATTAAGAGCAAAAACTGCCTGCCTACAAAAGACAGTGAAACTAGACGAATTTTATTTCATTAATGGGGTATGTTTGGTTTCTGGGGCAATGGAGGAAGGATGCCTGTGGACGCCCACCTGGGGTGGTCTGTCCTTTTGGAGGACAGCGTGCCCAGAGAGGGAACACGGAGACTCGAGGGATGCCCAGGCCTGCCTGAGCCTCCTTGCTGCAGAGTGTGTGGGGCAGCGGGAGCCTGAGCTAGCCGGGGCTTCCACTGTGCGGCACAGCCAAACCCCTGTCTGCATGGTCACTTCCTAGGGGGTTTGGGGCCTGGGCCTGGTGAGGAATGCCACACCGGCCACCACAGGCGTTTCCTTCTCCACTGCTTCCCCTAAGGCTGAGAAGAAGAGCCACTCCCATTCAGTTACATAGCTGCAACTTAGATATAATGTCTTAGATATAGGGCAGCACGTGTGGCTCAAAGGAGTAGGGCCCCATATGCCAGAGGTGGTGGGTTCAAACCCAGCCCCAGCCAAAAACTGCAAAAAAAAAAAAAAATTTCTTAGATATAATTTCTAGGTAGATTGATGTTTCTGCATGGGATAATAATTAGAAACAACAGTGGGTTCTGCCCCTTTCATCTCTGGGACAGAATCTTGCCATCGGCAATGACATCTGTTAACATATTACACTTTGGCATTGGGTGCAGACCCGGGTGCTCATGGTTGTTGCTCAATAAAAGTGGTGGAATGAAATTCATTCTTGTGTTCCTGCAACCCTCTTGTCAGGGGAAGAAGCCCAGGGACAGGCTCACCCACGTGGGTAGACAAGGGTTGCTCTCAGCTTTGCCTGCTCTGGAAGGTCATTTGGCAGCTCAGAGCCTGCCAGGGAGCTGCGCCTTCCCAGCTCCTCACTGTCTCCTGGGGCCACCCCTGGTGTGGACTTCCTCTGGGGAAAAGGTGACCATCAGCAGGGCTGTGCCTGTAGACAGGTGTGTCTGCTCATCGGGGACTAGACAGTCCAGCTGCAAAATTGGGGTGATGAGTCAGAGTTGGACCGCTGCCAGAACAACCACCATGGTCTGGTTCCTGTGTCTACAGGTGAGGAGGTGGGACCAGTGGCCTCATGGGTCTTTGTGAGGCTGAAATTAGGTGGCTGAATGATGCCTTGAAGAGCAGCAGGTGCTCCTGTGTGCTACGACTGTCCTTTGGGTGTTTGCTGCTCTTACAGCTGTGTGGCCTCTTCTCTTCTGCCCTAGGGTCGCAGGCTGTTCCCGTGGTCCTGTAGAGACCTCTGTGCACTGGGGACGTGCTGTGCAGTGGGCAGCTGTGGAGTAGACACTTGGGGCAAACAATTGGTAATCAGGATATATAGAGATTTTTTTGACACTATGTCACTCTGTCGCTTTGGGTAGAGTACTGTGGCATCATAGCTTACAGCAGCCTCAAACTCTTGGGTCTAAGAGATCTTTTGAACTCTTGCCTCAGCCTCCTAAGTAGCTGGGACTACAGGAACCTGCTATAACACCCAGCTAGTTTTTCCATTTTTAGTAGAGACAGGGTCTCACTCTTGCTCAGGCTGGTTTCAAAATCCTGAGCTCCAGCAATCCACCCGCCTCAACCTCCCAGAGCGCTAGGATTACAGGCATGAGCCATTGTACCTGGCCTATAGAGAGCTTATAAACCATTAAGAAAGTGATTAATGACCCAATGGGGAAAAAGCCGGGCAAAGAATATGAACAGGGACTTGGCAAAAGAGGAATTTTTGTTTGTTTGTTTGCAACAAGCGTCTCAAGCTGTCACTTTGAATGGAGTGCAGTGGTGTCATAGCTCATGACAACCTCCGACTCTTGGGCTCAAGCGATCCTCTTGCCTCAGTTTTACTATTTTTAGTAGAGACGGGGTCTTGCTGTTTTCTCAGGCTGGTCTTGAACTCGTGAGCTCAGGCAATCCACCTGCCTTGGCCTCCCAGAGTGCTGGGATTATAGGCGTGAGCCACCACTCCCAGCCCCAGAGAGGAACCTTCAGGTGTCCACTCACAGGAAAAGATGCTCGGTAGAGATCAGGGAACACAGGTTAGTTACTCCCCAACGTGGTTCTGTTCTAGACCATCACCTTGACGATCTCAGCAGGTCTGACGCTTTTGTAATACTGGTGGACCCGCCAGGCAGTGAGGACAGAGCATACGCTGATGGAATAAATGGATACGTCCATTCAGGAGAGCTGTTGGTGGCCACTTAGTGAAAAGTGTGCATTCCCCACATCTCCAGTAACTCTGCTTTTCTATAAATATACCCCAAAGAAATGCTCTGACCTACAAGAACATGTCTGAGGAGCTTTAGTGCAGCAATGTTTGTAAGAGTGAAGCTGAGGCCGTATCAGCAGAGGACAGGCTATAGGATATGTCTGTAGAATGCCTGTCCCCTATAGAAGTTATGATGAACTGCAGTTAGATGTCTTAACACAAACATGTAGACTAAAAAATAAAACGGTAGATGGAAAGGTTGCCAGACCTTATCTATGTGCAGAAAGAATCCGTTTGTATAAATAAGCCCAGCCTGGGTATGTAAAGATACCTATGTATAAGTAAATGTGAAATCTCAGAAGCCACTCACCAGCATCGTGGAGGCACGTGTGACTTGGATGGAGCATGGGGACTCTGCAATATGTCACTCAGTGATGTGGAGCAACATGGATGGAGCAGGTTAATGTGAGGTTCTGGGCGTCTGTGGCTTTGGCGACTGGAATTTTTAAGTGTAATATGAACATTCTTCCCAGACACATACATTCACACAGTGAGGTGTGCTGCTGGCTTAACACAACTGCAATACTGCATGTGACTTGGTGTTCCTTGCCTGTCTGTCCTCTATCTCTCTGTGAAAAACACATCAGACTGTGCAGAAGGCTTCTTAGGAGGAAGATCGTCTCTTCTTTCAGGACTCAGCTCATTTATGGCCCTTCCTTAAATTCTCTCTGGACAGAGGAATCATCCCCTTTCTGGGTTTCCACGTGCATTCCTCATAGCTCTGCCCCAAGCACTTTGCTTTTATCAGTAATAGTTCCTACCATACCTGATTCTAGTAATTTATTAGTGTACTTGTAAAATTCCCCAAACCGTAAGGACTGTGAGGATAGAGACTGGTCCTGATCACTGCCACCCCAGAATCCCTGCACCCCGCACAGCCTGGTTCAGAGAATGAGCCCATCAGAGTGTGTGGGATGAAGACTGGGTGGATGGCAGTCTTTTGACCACTGTGCCATGGGGAAGGGGTGCTGATTCCCATCAGTCCTTCCGATCACACCTGCTCTCTGCGTACTGCATAGAGGACAGAGCGTGGGCCCTTAGTCTTTTTGTCATCATTTCCCACGTAGACTCTGAGCTGTGATGCAGTGGCCAGGGCAGCCCTGCCAAGGGTAGCACATGAAACCTCTGGAGGCACCAAGGGGTCTGGAAGTGACCACTTGGCGAGGGCAGTTCTGGGGGCAGTGGGTAAAGGGAGGGAGCTGCCTTCTCGCTGTGCTTCAAATCTGGAGTCTAAATTTCAGTCCTAGTGTGGTGCAGGTGGATGAATAGATAACTGTCAAGTGTGTCCCCTGAATGGGGTACAGTCCTTACGTGCAGACTTCCACAACCTCTCAGAAGTGGCCTCTGGCCTGTGTGTTGGTCAGCACCAGTTGCTCCCCTACAATGTTAGCCACCCTTCAGGGCTTCTAACCTTTGCACTTAGGGGGATCAGGGTGCCATGGTGGAAAGCCTTGGCCTTTGTGCAGACAGGGGCAGTGGGGCACCAGGCTCAGGACCAGGCTATGCACATGTACACTCAGTCTGGCATTTAAGCATTTGGCCACATGGGGTCACTGATGCGCCAGCCTGGATCTGTCTGTGCCCGGGCTGGTCTCAGAGGAGTGTATGGGGCCCTCCTGGAGGGCTGAGAGCAGAGCCTGGGAAGGTGTAATCCCAAAGGTCCCTTGTTCCCCTGACCCTCAGAAAGCACAGAACTCCAGGGATACTGAAGGCAGCCGAGTCCCAGGAAAACATGGGTCTGGTGGGCCTCTGTGTGCTGTCCTTACCGTGGGCTCTGCTTGTTGGGGTGTTGGGGGCAGCAGGAGCAGGGCACCCCGTGTGAGGCTGGTTTCTTCCCCCTCCATGACATCTGTGGGAAACTCTGGCTTCTCAGAAGAAGGGGCTAGATGCAGCCTGCGAGGTGGTCCTGGCCCTAGAGATCAGAACATTCCGCAGGCCTGTGGCTGGAGCCTGGAGGAATCTGAGTTTGGGTAGAAAAGAAGCCAGGAGGACAGAGCTGAGCGGCCAGATTTCACTCACTCCTCCAGCACCAGCTCCCTCCAGGTCCGCCTGCAGTGAGTGACCTCCATCGGGTGTTTGCTGTTCAAAGTGCCTCCCTGGTGTAGGAAATTCTGCATTTAACCATCTTGCTGAGCAGAGCACACAAGACTGCGGGGGGGGGGGGGGGGGGGGGGGGGGGGGGCCCTGAACATGCAGAGCCCCAGGCCCTGCTCCAGGTTGATTTCAGGGTGGAGCCCCGAAATCTGCATTCTCTTAACCTATCCCCCAGGTGAGACAATGCCATGGAATGTGTTCAGTCACTTTCTTTAATGGGTATTTTTTTTTTCCTTTCTTTTATTTCTTTTTGTTTTACATCATCTTAGTAGCTTGGAATTCTGGGAGGGGGGATATAAAAATAGCAATTTTTTGGACCCAGCGTTTCCTCCGTCTTCTGTTTAGTCTGGAGCAGTGTCCCAGCCTCCTACGGGCTGTGGCTGCTGGAAGGGTAGTGGTGGCACACACTTCCCAGCTCCCCTAATTCCCCCACCCCCTGCCCGCCTGCTCCTATAGCCCCTCAGAGCTGGGCAGTGGGGCCACCGCCAAGTGAGGGCTGGCCCAGGATACTCCCAGCCCAGCTGGAACACATGACGGAGATGTTCCTGAGTGTGGGTCCCCCTCCCCCAATCTGACATCCTCCTGATTTCTCCAGATGAAGCCCCTCTGCCCTAGTAGCAGCTTTGAACACCTAACCCTAAACCATCTTCCATGTGGACCCCGGGGCTCTGCTGCTGTGACCCACCCAACTTCCCCTCTCTGAGGTCAGACACCTGCCCAACAAACTTGACTTCGGCTGGGCAGGTGTCCTAAGGCCTCCCTTGTTGAGACCTCAGCTACCTCCCCTCTGTCCCTCAGTAAACCAAGCTGCAAAACCAGTCATAACAAGTTTAGAAAAAAGGAAAGGGGGAAAAATGTAAAAACACCCACCTCCGCCTCAACACAAACCCAGAGATGATCCCCTTCCAAGCCACTCAAAAGCACCACTGGACGCAGTTCTGCTACATGGGCGGAGGGGAGCAGAGCTCTGCTCAGCGGGGTCACCCAGCCTTGCAGAAGGGGTCTCTCTGGGGGTGTGGGAATGGGGGAGCCAGGAGGGAGGGGATGGTCCCCCCAGGAGCAGTGCTGAAGGCTTAACCCCGGGGCTGTCTGCAGGGAGGGCTGACCCCTTCACCCCTCCCCCGCACCGTGTCAGGCCTGTCTTCTCTGAAATCCTGTCTCCTCCTCCCTAGGCTCAGCCCTCCAGGTGACCAAGGCCTGTCCTGAGAGGGTCTGTGGGGGCTTTTCCTGCTCACTCCTTCCACCTGCTTTGTGCAGCCCAATCTCTTTCTTCCAGACCTGTTCATTTGCTTCCTCCCGTGGGGGGTGTCCTATGGGTCCCCTTCCTGCTGTCCAGGTCTAGGAGCAGCCTGGCCCATGCA